GTTGGAGGAGAATTTTGAAAGTGCCATGGGCTTCCACGAGAACCAGCAGATCTGTGTTGGAAGAAGTGCAGCCTGGAGGTCAGGATGGCCAAACTTCATCTCTCATACTTCTGACATATTCTTAGGAGGGATCAGTTTCTGGAGAAGGATATCATGTTTGGTGAGGTAGAGGGTCAGAGAAAACGATGAAGACCCCCAGTGAGATGGATTGGCAAAGTGGCAGCATCAAATGAGCTCAAGCGTGGCAACAATTGTGAGGTTGGCCCAGGATCAGGCAGTGTTTTGTTCTGTTGTGTATAGGGGTGCTATTAGTCAGTACTGACTCGATGACACCTAACAACAACAACAACTACAATATCAGATGAAACATCTGGGAGTGGGTATAGTCCTGGCACAGAAGTTGTACAGAACACTTAGTTGGAAATGTTGGGAGTGGCCTGCATACTATTTATACCACTCTGTCAAGCAGGTCCAGGTTCTGGTGTTGGCATGTGCCATCCTCCATGGCATGCCAGCGATGGAGGGGATGGGGAGTTCTTCCCACATCCTATAGTCTGACTGATTCCTTATGTCTGCAATCATGGTGGTCCAACTGGTAAGTGCATTACTGCATACTTTAACGATAGGACAGAGAGGTGAGAGGTACTAACAGATGCAAGTCATGTCCATTGAGTATAACACATGCAATGGTGGGGGAGGCACTCAAGACAGTCCCTGGTTGGTGGAGCTCCCCAAGTTTGCAATACCATACTGTTTGTCCTGGAGGGCACTCTTGGAATGGATGGCTGTGCAGTCTAATGTGGTACTAGAAAGCTCCATAGTTTGAAAACAGGAGTCTCCCAAGGGATGGGGTCCCTCTTCAAGAGATGAAAAATCTGTAGGCTCTTAGGAGGTGTTGGATGAAATCATGGGGATACTTGTAAATCTACCTTTAGCTCGACTCCCATTGGGGCCCCAAAGTCAAACCAACAGAGACCTGTTTGCCATACCCAGAAGAGAGAAACAATGGACATCCCCAGGGATAGATTCTGAGGCAATGGCACGAGATTATGAGAGTCTGTAGGTAACAGCAGGGGGTGGTCACTTATGGCAGATATATGGATTCTTATGGCCTTCTGCAGTCTCTGTGTGAGCAACTGATAGGCACTAGGTCTACTCTTTCTTTCATATTCATTGATGCATCCAGAGCTTTGGTCACCTTCAAATCCACTGTTATACTGAGTTCGTAGGCTTTTTTTCAGGATCCCATTAATTTATTCCACTAGCTCAGTGGCAGCAGGATTGTATGGAAGGTGTTAATGCCAAGCAATGCTCAGTCCATCTGCTCCCTTCTGGACCTTGTGTCCAGTGAAGTGGGTCCCATGATCACTATCAATGGCTGTGGGGGTGTTGTAAGTTATCCAAAGCTGGGAGATACCTCAAATAGAGGAATGCTGAGTAGCCTGTTTGCATGGATATGCTTGCAGGTGTCTTGTAAGGTGGTCTGCTTATGTCAGGGAAAACTGACAGTTATCAGACATAGGAGTTATCAGACAGTTATCAGACATGTAATCCACTTACCAATGTTTGACTGGCATATCTGCCCGGAATATTCTACCCATCTGGTAGGGAATGGGTTTATATTGTCCTAATGAGAAGCTAGGGCACTGTTGGAATGCTTCCACAAATGCAGAGGGGAGGCCCATCTCCTTGGAGGTGGTTCATAGTGTCTTACACTCCATTTTTCTGTGCAGCCACTCAGTCACTTGTTCTACTGGTGTTTGCTGTATGGCACATAGCCTGGCTTTCTCATAAGCTTGAACATTCCCTGGTGGATTACAAAGGCTATGATACAGTACATGAAAAGCAACAATGTCCATGTCCTGTGTTCAGGTCCAAATGTTCTTCCACTTCCCCATTCCCCATAGGGCTCATTGGTTCAGTAGACACTCTTGCTCTTACCATTGTGTTATCTGTAATGCTTGTCCTTTGTACACTGCTAAGCTGTCTATGCACAGGACAATGAGACTGGGCTCATGCATTGGTTCCAACCAAGCAGCACTCAGTTTAGTCCACTGGCTAGTTTGCCATATACCCAAGTGATTGGTTGTATAACCACTGGATTCTGCCACGGGGTTATCCATGTACCAGGTTTCCTCGAGAATTTGCTCAACACCCTTTCTTATGTGGTTCTACTGTGGAGACACTTTCATTGTGGATGACTGATGCATTCCATCAGTGACATAGGTAACTGATCCAAGAATCTTGTGTAACTTGACACTCAAGGGGCTGGTGGAGAGGACATTTCTCTGTTGCAAATATGTGTGCCATTTGACCAGTGTTCTGGATTGGGCCACCCCCATTTGGGGCTTGTTGTTAAGTGCTGTTGACCCTGTTCCAAGTCATAGTGATCCTGTATAGGGTTTCTGAGGAGAAGCTGATGAGTTTGAACTGCCAACCAAAGTCCTTACACACCACTGTATGAGGTAGTGTTTTCGTACTATTACAGGGGGCCCCTTTTGTTATGCCTTCTATAAGCTATAAGCTATTAAACACAACACCTGGTTGCTTTTCTAAAGGGCTATATCTGATTTCTGTACCTTTCCACAGTTGAGACCTAAATCCTAAGGGAATACATCAACCCCATTGCCATTGCCACATGTCCCAGCCATACTTCTCTGGTTAGCTGGTGACATGCAAGTCATACTCCTGCCCTACAGCTATGGTTCCAAGATCCTGAACCTGCTTTATTGCTACTTTAGCCTCATTAAAAAAACTTTTCTGCCTCTGGAATCCAGTCCCAAATGTTTCCTTTCATTACTATATAGTACAGGTGGCACAAGATTAACTATTCCAAGTGGAGAATAAAGGGTCTACAATACCTTAGTTAGCATCCCAAGGAATGTTTGAAACTCCTTTACTTTGGTAAAGCAAGGGTATGCTTCAACTTTGTCAATCACAGCCTCAGGAACCACCTTTGTCTTACCTAACCACACAAACCCCAAGAATTTGACAGGTGATCCAGGGTCATACAGTTTGGCATCATCGATGACCCATTTTCTGGAACTCAGGTGTGACACTAGCTGTAGTGTTATTTGTTGAAGCAAGGACAGAGAATCACAAGTGCACCAAACATCACAAATAGAGTGGGACAAGTGGCTATTGGTGGACTTATACCACTTCTCTAGGTCCTGGGAAACTAGCACATGACACACTAAGGAGCTATGGACATACTCCTAGGGGAGAGTTGTGAATGCCCAGTGTTATCCATGCCTTTTGAAAGCAAAGTGCTCTTGGCTGTCAGAGTCAATAGGGATACTAAAAAGTCATTAGCTAGGTAAAGCATAAAGTGATAAGTACCCAAGTGTTCCCCAATATTATTGAGGTGGGAAGCAGTGTTAGATATGACTGCATGAAGAGGGGGCACACCTTATTGAGCTTTTGGCATTCTATGGTCATATACCATAATCTGTTTGGCTTACATACTGGCCACACCAGGTTATTGAATGGACTGTGAGTGGGCCTAACGATCCCTGTCTGGGTGAGTTCAGCTAGAGTGGCCGTAATCTCCTCATGAGCTCCAGGTAGGTAATATTGGTTGATGTTAATCAACCAGTGAGGTGGGAGTAAGTGGAGTGGGGTCCATCTCACCTATCACTGAATAACAGATCTTACCACCTGGACCCTTCAACAGAACCCTCCTCTGGTGGTCATAAGCATCATATAGTCAGTGAGAGAAGAAATGTATACTTTATATTCCTCAGCACAGGGGCAAATGGCCAATCTATAGAGTCAAAGCCACTTGGAGCACTAAAACTGTGTTGCCCATATCCATCAATGGCACTCAGTGGCTCTTGGAACCAGTGGATGCTTCCATGAACCAGGGTACACTTAGCCCAGGTGCCTACTAGGAATAGAACAGTTTGCTTATTTTTTGGAGACCAATGGATGGTTAATGTCACATGGGGCCTCCAGTCTGCCACTAGGCTCAAGAACCTTGGCCCCCTCCCTAACCAAGAAGGATAAGCATTGCCAACACCAGGCGTGCTCTAGGAGTGGCAGGTACTTAAGAGTCCTTTACCCTGATGAATGGCTGTTTGGGGAAGCAGTTTCACCAGGACTGTGTTTGGCTGCTTGTCAATTTTGTCCTGGGGTTTTCCAGCAGCAACCAAGTCAATTTACATTTGCCTTCTACAATTCACACTGGACATTTCTTGTTGCCTATTATATTTGCCTGCTTCATCCCCTCCTGCATTCCACAGTCTGGTTCTTTCTGGTTCAGCCTGGGACTTTGGCTGTCCAACCATAGGGCTCAATTTGGACACCAGGGGTCTATATTATTGGTTAGAAGGCAACTGTAAAATGTCATCCTTCATTCTGTCTGGGAACAGCTCATTGTCTGAGCCACCATAAAGTTCTGCATATACGGGGTGCTTCATCTGAAGTTACCTAATCATTTCTTGCAGTACTCCATAGCTATCCAGCATAAGAGGAAGCTAGGTATCTCCCTCATTTGGTCAGGCTGCCTTGCAAGCTGCTTTCACCTACATCAGTAATGATACTATCTGGTTCTCATTGATTGCAGTGTAAAGGCACTGTCTTGATGCAGGGTGGTTAGTAACAGAAGCCATTTTAGACCTTCATTGACAGGTGCCTTTACACTGCAATTAACGAGAACCAGATAATGAATCCTGCTTATCTGCCAGCCTCTGAACCCAGATAACTCACAGTAGTGAGGGACTACACAGACACTGAGTTAGTAAAACTGGCAACTTGGTAGAGGCAGAAAGGCAAGAGTCTGTAGCAGGATCCATGTTGGCTGGGTGGGGCTGATCTGTTTTAATTTTAGTATTCATAACATAATAAGTTTTGCTTCAAGATGGAGGACTTCTATCTCTTCATTGAATTTTTCCCTTCTGACTCAGTTGGGGACTCCAGCAGGTCCTACTGCTTGGGTCTCCAAATTCATCTTCATAATTAATGCTTGCATGTGTTGTCATGACAAGCATCATCCTTTCACTTTAGGCTAGCAGAGAGGCTAGAATCTTCATGGTAAAATCAGATGTTTTGAAACAGGTACCTAAGCCTTCAGTAGTATGAATCTGTACTTCTCTAGGCTTTTGTTTTAAAAGCAGCACATCCTTGAACCTCTGTGCTTCTGTTTGTGCAGCCATCTTCACTGCTGTAGTGGCACAAATCGTGCATAGGAGTGGCCAGGCTACTGAGGTGACCAGCGTCCTAGTGCCTGCCCCTTCCTGGAGAACAGCAGGAGGAGGGGGCTCTTGGTTCCTTCTTATCATATGCATAATTAAAGCATGAGGACAAGCAGAAGGAGGGGGCTGTCTGCTCTTTCCTAGAGAGTGGGAGAAGGAGTAAGGAATAGGAGATATGATTTGAGTTGACATTGTTGTGAAATGCCATCGAGTCAGTTCTGACTCATAGCAACCCTGCATAAGGTTTGTGAGGAGCGGACTTGTGGTTCAAACCTATGTTATGGTTCAGTGCTTATCCTATTGCACCACACCAGTTGACTTTAATATGTCCATCTTGGAGCGCTCTTCTTGTGACCCTACAACTCACTCCAGAGTCAATGATCTATTCCTTTCTGTGTATTACAGTAGCTGTTACTAGTCATTGGGAAACAAGGGAAAGGAGTTTAGGTAGTATTAATGGAACTTTTTCTATCATTTATAAGTTATCTGTTTATTGTTTCAGCTTTCACATAATTGTTTCAACTCTCTGGTTGGTTTTCAGAGATCTTACAGAGTTGTCTACTGGTTTCTGTTCCTCCTGACTAGATAAGTGTATGAGGGGTCAAACAAGTGAGTATGCCATCTTCCAGGCCAAAAGTCAATTTCAAAAGTCATCATAGTTATTTGGCAGCAATGAAGACAAAATGAACTATAATCCACTGACAGAAGAATCTTTCCCAAGTGAATTGATGATTACAAGTCGTATTCTTTTCCCTGGGGAATTAAATAGATTGTGGGAATAATCTTAGAATCAGTTTGCCTGGACAGAACATATTGTATGAATAAACAAAAATTCAACAATATTTTCAGTGGCAAGCAAGGACGGAATCATAATTTGGAAATTTGGAAGGCCTCACTATGCAGGCAGTTTTTTAAATAGCAGTATGTTGAGTATTATGCCTGGACTTCTGAGTTACAAGGGAAACTTATAAAAGGAGAAATTACTTTTCACTCTCATATGATGCATAGGAAAAAAAGGCTTAGTAGTATAGGAAGTTCACCTTATGTACATACCTATTCTGTTTTCTTCCTCAAGACTTTTGTCATATTTTGAAGTTGCATATGGAATAGCCTAGAAAAATGGGATGGAAATCTAAAAAGAAAGACATAGGTGAGTCTTGTAATGACTTTCAAGACTTCAAACTCCCACCAGCCTCTCAATCAAAAATTCTGTAGAATCATGACTAAGTCACGTTTAAAAAAAATAAAATCTGAGGTAGTTTTCCCTGCACAGGAAAATATTCTTAAAGGGAATTAAAGTAGAGGACACAATAACAAGTCTCAGAAAGTACAAATAAGTAGATATATAGAGAAAACCACATTATTAATAATTTGAAAATATTTTAGAGTTTAATTCATATGTGGAACTTAAATCCATGTGAAAAATAATGCTGAAGGTTAGTTCTAAAATTATATCACTATTAATAAAATACAAAGATAGTAACGGACATTAAACTTAAGTCAAGAATGCATTCTGTAATGTTCATGATGACCATTAAAACAAGTTTATAGAATTTTAAAAACACTACTTGAGCTCAAAAGAGGGAGCAAATCTTTACAGCAAGGATCATTCCCACTCCCTTCATACACAGAGTAGACAGGATGGGCAACTTGGACATTGGCTACCCAAAATGGGGTTGGAGGGGCTACAAAGGCAAGAAGTGACTGGCTTACAAGCTTTCAAGAGGGAACCTAGATCTAGAGGGCATGGAGGAAGGTAGAATCTCCACTGCGTAGTATCTAATCTGTCTAGGCGGGACTGTTGAAAGAAAATGCGGATAGGTCTCTTGTAATACAATAGTGAATAATTGTTATCAGGACTGATAGTGAGGGTTGGAAATGTAAAGGTAGACGTTTTGTAGCAAGGAGGGGAGTGATTAACTTTGCAGTCTAGGAGTGGAGGTCTCTGGGATCATGAAGGGAGAAGAGCAGACAGCGGGACCCTACCCAGAGAATCAGTGATGCCTGAGATGGAGGCAGAGATAATGATGTGGAACGATGGAGCAGCTGTGGACTTTAGACCCAGAGAGGGAGAGGGGTTGTGTGTTGACAACCAGGGAAGGGGGGTAGGGGGGATGGAGGGGGCAGGCTTGCAGGGTATACCCTTTGATTGGTTGATGAAGCATGGAGGGAATTGTAACCATGGCAATGAAAAGATATACAATAGGATGAATGTAAAACTAATGTTCTCCCATGTAAATTATCACATAATTCACGATAAAACATTCAAGTAAATAAATAAATAAATAAAAGACTACATGAAATTTTTAGAAGAAAACAGGAAAAGATGAAAAAGACAAACATAAAACAGCTAAGTAAAATTACTCAAAAGTAATTTTACACTTCAAACTATTTCTGTTTGAAGTGTAAATGTAATGAGCTCTGGTAGCGTAGTGGTTACGAATCGGGCTGCGAACCTTAAGGTCAGCGGTTCGAAACTACCAGCTGCTCCGCGGGAGAAAGATGAGGCTTTCTACTCCCGTAAAGATTTACACCCTCGGAAACCCTGTACAGGGTCGCTATGGGTCGGACCCGACTCGACGGCACTTAACAACAACAACAACAACAATGATTATAAAACATCGATGAAACCTGCATTATTGTGCATTTTGACTGACTGATAATATAGATAAGACATAATGGTGTGGGGTGCAGCTAAGCAATACTTACAGGAAAGTTATAGCTTTGTATGCCTTTGTAAAGAAAAGGAAGGCTAAAAGTCAATGATTTATTCTTCCACATCAGGAAGACAGAGGAAGGAAAACAAATCATTCTTAAAATAAATTGACGAGGAAAAATCATTAAATAGATTTTTTTGTTTGTCTTCTGGAAGTTCATGGTATTGTTAATATTCTTCTACAACGCTGTAGCTGAGTTGCATTGGTTCTTATACATTTTTCTTTATTCACTGTCCAACTTTCACATGCATATGAAGCAACTGAAAATACCTTGGTCTTGGTTGGTTGCACCTTAGTCCTCAAATTGTGTGAATCATGAATAGCTATGTGCAGCAGATTTGCCTAATGCAATGCATTGTTTGACTGCTGGTTCCATAGTGTCCATTGTTAATCCAAGCAAAATGAAGTCTTTGACAACTTCAAATTCTTTTTTCTCTACTTGTCATGATGTTATTTGTTGGTCCAGCTGTGAGGAATTTTATTTTCTTTACATTGAGGTGCCATCCATACTGAAGTGACTTTAGTGACTTATCTTCATCAGTGTTAAGTTCTCATTGCAAGTAAGATTGTATCGTCTGCGTATTGTAGGTTGTTAATGAGTCTCCTCCAATCTTGTTGCTACTTTCTTCTTCATATAGTCCAGATTCTCCAATATTTGCTCAGCATGAAGACTGAATTGTTGTTGTTGTTTAATGCCATCCAGTCTGTTCCAACTCATATCAACCCTGTATATGGGTTTTGAGGAGCAGCTGGTGAGTTTGAACCATAGACCTTGCTGTTCAAACTGACCTCCTACAGT